TAACATTCTTCTGGTGACGAAAGACAGTTGACTTCCTGTCTCGATGAAGTTCGACCCTTGCCCCAGAACAACTATGGAAAGGCACTTTAAAGATTCTCGGGTCATTTCTGTTGCATTTGCGTCACTTAAAGATTCAACATATCGACTGCTGGAGGGAGGAGACTGTCTTTATTGGACAGCAAAGCCAAAATAAACTGGACGAAATGAAGAGACTGGAGGAGAAAAAGCAGCGCCTCTCTGTGTCTAAGTTAATGTACTGCCTCTGGTCCCTCAACATCTACAAGTTAGGAGAGTGTGATGAACACACAGAAGTACACCTGGGAGGAACAGGTAGCCACAAACAAGAGGTGTACGTACTGTACATGACCCTGGTGACCCCACATGAAGACATTGTTCTTCTTCTCTTTTCCTTTCTTCCTCTTCGTCTAACAATCTGTTATCAATCATCAAAATAACAGGATTAGTACAGGGGTGAAAAATTATACTCAGCTGCACTGATACTCTTTAAAAATGCAGCTGGCCGGTAGATCCCGATAGCACGTCAGCAGGGTGCAGTCCCACAGTATGCTCACCACACACAAAGGGTCGCGGGCGAGAGTGAGAGCCACTAATGTCAAGGAGACTGTCACAGGACCCAGGGTTAGAGTAGTCTTCACCTACCCTAGAGGGCGCTCACAACAGCTGGTGATGTGTTTCCACCAATAGGCAGCCATCTCCGACTCGTGCCTGCCTTCACCTAGTTAGCACTGCTAACTAGCAGCTCATGATAAGGTGTAGTGTGCCGAGTAGGTAGAGGTGATATTGCCGGGTATATGCAGGGGAAAGTGACCTTTGTATGTTACAGCATGTATGTATGTATTTGTATGTACGTGTGTTTATCGACATATGAGTTTGATTTTATGTGTACTTGTGTGAATATGTATTTGTGTGAAGTGTGCGTATTTGTGCACAGGAATGGACGTAGGTGTGCACGTTCACGTTTTCAGTGTGCTATAATATTACACAACGGACAAATTGTTTTCAATACTTTCCTGATATGCCAACGACTACGAGGAAATTTGGGCAATTAGTTTATCTTTCCTGCCGCTTACAAAATGTGTTCAAGATTATATGAAAAAACAAAAAACAAAACAAAACACGTAAGATACTAAATGAATATACAAGTGAAAAAATATCCTATGATCATTGACAAGTTAAGTGGCATTGTTAAACACACATTCCCATTCATGTTTATCTTAATATTAGGATAGTAGCTGTAATCTTATTCGTCTGTCAGTCATGATGTAAGACGAATAATATTATGAAATTACGAAACATTAGACTCTAGAAGGTTCGGGGGTGGTGATGGTCGTTATCACACTATATTAAAGTAAGTGAATGGAAATGAACATTTTAGGGAGTGGAGAGCAGGGCTGTGTGTCATGATGGACGGGGAGACACGTTTACCTAAGGTTCCTGCAAAGAAAATAAGTAAACGACAAAACTCCAGTCTCATAGCCCTTATATTCATGTGTATCGAAGTTAGTTTGGTAATCATTTATAGAAAAGGGAAACAATATTCAAAGTCATTTATTTCCGCCAATGTTTAATGTAGGCGGGAACACTGCTTCAAAGACACCATTGAGCCTCCGAGGCGTGAAGCAGCTCCTCTCTCATCATTGTATTGTATTTACACTAAAGCCTCTCAAGCCTCTCATAGTAGGTATTAGTCTTATAAGACAACTCAACCCTTGGGACGGAAATAATTTCAATTGTGAATAAAACATCGTCATTAACACTTTTGTATTTCTTTTTCGAAAGGTTAGTATATTTCATAATTTTCCATTTCTTTATTTAATAAAGAAGAGCTATACTGAACCGATATCGTAATTATTAAGAAGTCCATCATCTCACAATCAGGAATACCAACTAACCCTATACCTAGACAACAAGAGTCAATAGTGTTCATTTTGAAACCCATCGGGGCCGGGGGGAAGAGTGTACAGTACTGTACATCACCGAGTTTGTATACGAATATTGTACTAATATATATGTACGTATGTGATTATGTTCGCATGTTGATGGCCAAGCACATGTGTGTGTGTACGTTACTCCCCATTTGCAAAATTGCTTATTCATGAACAGGGCAATTTCACAAATGGGGCGTAAATTACATGTATTGTACAGTACAAAGTCCATTAAATAATTTACTCCGTAGCCTGATAAGAAATCCTTTCATTCGTCTTTTTGTTGGTCTGACGGTCTACACTCGTATTCGTTATCTAATCATCACCATTCTCAAACTCGTGTCTCATAACCAGCCTCCCTGAGCACACAGATTAATTCAATGAGTAACTAAGAAACTGAAGCAAGGGGTGGGTATATTCCTGGCTTTTGTTAACACCTTGTGATGAGTGTCGGGGGAGTGTGTGTGGGCGAGAAGCTGTAGTGTAAGCCTTCGATACACTACAAACAATGTGGCCGGCACTGCACTTTATCGTGTTCACTTTTCCAAATGTAAAGTTTAGGAGCCATTCACAGATGGGCACATACCAGCGAGCTCCAGAACATGAGGCAAGCACTGTACCGACTCAGTAGCTGTACCCCTGTAACACTCTGTTGCTGTACCCCTGTAACACTCGACTGCTGTACCCCTGTAACACTCGGCTGCTGTACCCCTGTAACATTCGGTTGCTGTACCCCTGTAACACTCGACTGCTGTACCCCTGTAACACTCGGTTGCTATACCCCTGTAACACTCGACTGCTGTACCCCTGTAACACTCGGCTGCTGTACCCCTGTAACATTCGGTTGCTGCACCCCTGTAACACTCGGTTGCTGTACCCCTGTAACACTCGGTTGCTGTACCCCTGTAACACTCGGTTGCTGTACCCCCGTAACACTCGACTGCTGTACCCCCGTAACACTCGACTGCTGTACCCCTGTAACACTCGACTGCTGTACCGCTGTAACACTCGACTGCTGTACCGCTGTAACACTCGACTGCTGTACCGCTGTAACACTCGACTGCTGTACCGCTGTAACACTTTGCAAATGTCTTTTATAATGTTGCATTCAGATAAAATATATTTACACTTATTTGCACACCCGAGTTAGCTACCATAATTCTGCTTACGATGTGTTAGTAAAGCAATTTAACTATAGTGCTCTGTGATCAGCGTCGACTCCCGTGTGTGTCAATACTGCACTGTATCAGGAATACTTGTATGTAGTAGTGTTAGAACTATGTTTAGTGTTGAATTTATTTAGACGAAGACACGAATACCTTACACTAGCCTCTTGTTTTGTTCTCTCAAAGGATAGTCTAGTAACGGGACGAATTAACTGCATTAATTTAGACTGAATGTGAAAAGGACCCAGGTGTGTATGTTGACAAAGAACTGAAGTTCTCTGGCCAGTGTGAGAAGAAGGTGAATCAGGCAACTAAATTATTGGGTCTTATAAGGTCGTCCAGGTATCCCTCGTGACTATCTTCACGAGTGAGGTGCATCCCCGCCTGGTCTGGTTCCCGAGGCATGCTAGGGACTGTCAGTTGATTGAAAATGTCCAAATAAGGGCCACCAGGGGCAGCACTTCAGCACCTCAGCTACCCTGAGAGATTAGAGCGCTTACAATTGCTTAGCTTATACTACAGACGGGCAAAGGGGGACCGAATTGAGGTGTATAAACATCTCAAACGGCACTACTCAGTAGAGTGTCTTTACCTGGAGCTAGCAGATGCTCGCCCCACAAGGGGTCACAGCTCAAGGTTGAAGAAGCCGCAGGTCCAGAAAACTGTGAGGGGTAACTTTTTCGGAGTGAGAGTTATGAACTCTTGGAACAATCTGCCAGAGAGTGTTGTTATGGCACCGAGTGTGAGTTCTTTCAAGACCAGACTTGACAAGCACTGGAGCAGGTTCAGATACATTCAGGAGACAGTGCATGTCCAGTACTTGCCAACAGTGCACAACAGAGACGTGACCGATCGCCCAAGCGGTGAAGCGGATAAAAGTAAATAAAAAGTAAAAGTATTGAAAGTCGCAAAAACTCATCTAATCTGACCTAATGTAGCCAATTTTTTTTTGTGACTATTTGTCCTGTGGGTATCTCTCCGGTCACCTCACATGAGACCGACCATCCCGTCACAACCACAAGCTCCCATGTGGGCTGAACCTGCGTCTCGTGTTGTGGTTTCACTCCTACACCGAGAAGCCCAACATTAGAAACCTGACGATCTGGTTCTACTAGTATTCCTAATGTCAAATCCCGGAGGATGAAACTTAAGGTTGAAAAATGTTAGCAAAAAATAAATGACAAATATTAGAATTTTTTTACTCTGGTGTTTATCTTCGATTTATGAATATGGCTTACACTCAGGGTCTCTATTGTTAGTACACAAACACACACACACAGCCACACGCACAGCCACAGCCACGCGGCAGAATAGGACAAGGGATAGTGAACCTTAGACAGACATACAACAACGACCAATATGGCGGCACAGAATATCGATGTTACTTCAATATTCCCACCAATAAAAATTCGCTACAGAAAAAAAAATGAGTAAAAAAATATATAAATTTTTTATTATGATTATACAGTATAATGCAGAAGTTCCACTATAGTATTGTAGAAGAGAAAATACTGAAAAAACGTGAACACTGTAACTTATCTTCTACAGTGGAATTACAGTGTTAGGATTTAAGTGTATTACGTAATTTCCTCTATTACACTAATTACCTGTTATATATATTTATTAATTGGCAATCAAACTCTATTGTTGCAATAGTTGTGATGGTTATTGTGGTGGTACTTCCAAGAAATGGTTGTTACTGAAATAGTTGTCATGGTTGTTGTGGTGGTTGCTGTAGTTCTTGTGGTGGTTGTTGTAGTTCTAGTGATGGTTGTTGTTGTGATAGTTGTAGTTATAGTGATCGTTGTAGTTGTGGTAGCTGCAGTAATACTGGTGATGGTTGTTATGGTGGTAGTTGTGGTAGTTGTAGTTAAGGTAGCAGTGGTGGTAGCTGTACTAACTCTATTAATGGTTGTGTTGTGGGAGTTATAGTGGTTCTAGTGATGGTTGTTGTAGTTATTATGGTAGTTGTCGTAATTGTAGTATTGATTGTAGTCATGGTAGTTGTAGTAGATTTACTAATGGTTGTTATGGTCGTTGTAGTTCTAGTGAAAGATGTTGATGTTGTTTTTGTTGTAGTTATGGTACTAGATATTGTTTTGATAGTTGGATTGTTGTAGCGGTTGTTGTTTTTGTGGTGTATAGTTACAGTGGTTCTAGTTATGGTTGTGTGTTGTATTAATTGTAGTTAGAGTGATGATTGTTATGATAGTTGTTGTATCAGTTCGAATGGTTATTGTTTCAATAAACGTTATTCCGGTACTGGTAGTTGTGGTTACAGTAGTTCCAATGGTTGTTTCTTTACGGTTGTTGTGGTTTCAATCGCTGTTGTACTCTACTAGTTGTTGCTGGGTTGCTTCAAATGTAGGTTGGATGGATATATGAGCGATAGGGGTTGGGTGCATACGGGACTGCCCAGTATGGGTCAATAGGCCCGCTGCAGTTTCCTCCAATCTTATATTCTTAAGTAGAGCGCCTGGACACCCCAATACAGACGTTATTTAAACTGTAAGACAAACAAGTAATTGCTTTTATATTATACTGAATACATAACCTTATAACTTAACGTCAACATATAATCAACATGTAGCACAACATGTAGACCCTATAGTGTTTTGATGGCAGTATCTATACGTATTTGGGCCCCGTTGTGTAATCTGATATATTGTTTGCTTGAACTAAAAAGGAGGGTATAGTTATGTTTTTATTTTGAGAATGGGTGTGTGTGTGTGTGTGTGTGTGTGTGTGTGTGTGTGTGTAGGCTTGGTTAGGTGGGGTTAACTCGGGTGCTGTTGGGAATAGATTCCATTTGTTATTATTCTTACTTTATCCCTTTTTTTACTTAATTAATTTTTACTTAACTTTTACTTAATTTACTTTTTACTTAAATATTTTTACTTAATTTACTTTTTACTTTACTTTTTATTCATGTTACGCGATAGTCCGACGGAGGCTGATACGCCTTCAATCGTGCTCGAACGCATCCATATGGGTGACGTCATACCGTCGTGAGGGCCTCATTACTTGTTACAGGTGGTTCAGGGAGTCACGGGGTGAACCAAGGGGCCTAGGAACCTGGGTAGAACTCTCTTAGGGGTTTAAGGGGCCTGAAAAGAACTCAAAAGAACCGTTAAACCTGAAAAGAACTCTCATGGAGTGTAGGAAGCTGAAAAGAACTCATGTAGGACTTAGAAACCTGAAAAGAACTCCTTTAGGGGTGTAGGGGGTTGAACAGAACTAAAAAAAACTCAAAATAACTTATAAACCTGAAAATAACTCTCATGGGTCGTAGGTGGTACGCAAAGAACTCTGGAAGAAAAGAAGATAACTGAAGAAAAATAATTATTAGCGTTTAGAACTCGAGAAAGGACAGTAGGAATAAAACAGAACTCATAGAAGGGAGAAGGAAGTGATAAAAAAGAACGTTGGAGCACTAGAGGAAAAAACTCAGCAAAGATCATCAGAATATGAAGAAAGAAACCCCAAGGGCTAAATCAAGAAGGGCAATAGAATACGAATAGAAATCAAGGGCTATTAGAGCATAAAATAAAACCCAAGAAAGGACCACAAGAACCCGAAAACAACTGAAGGAAAATCGAAGGATGAGCAAAGAACGCGAAGAAGATCAGAAGAACTTAAAGAAAAATAAATAAAGAAGAAAGTAGGAAGCAAATGAAGCCGCGAAAAAAAAAGCGTTGAAACCCGATTAGAAATTATCCAGTAGCCTTAGTAGTGAAAAGAACCAGTGTAAGAAGCTGTGAAGACCTCGAGAAGCGGTGAAGGGGGAAGAAACTGTCTTAGGAAGAATCTAGTGTTACCTCCTCTCCAGATTATGAAGTTTCATGTCTTACTGTGTTCATATGCAAGACACTGGATAACCCCTCACTCTGGTCTCTTAACCAGCGTTAGCACTCGCACTGAAACCAAAACAGCCGCAGACTTATGTAGCAAATGATGAACGGCAGACAAGGGACACAGGCAACTCAAGACGGACAAGGACGGACACAAACACAAGCAGACTGCAGACAAGGACACAAACAACTGAGACAGACACAAACAAAATCTTTACAGTTTGTGACCTTAAAAAAAAAAAGTTGAATCGGTGTCTCGACCAGTGATAATAAACGAACGTATTTTCTGAATAAAAAAAAATCGAAAGAATGAACCATCGTATTTAAGCGTCAAGGAACCAATTACGCTCAGTTATGACACACGGCTCGCTGGAGAAAATAAAATCGTATTTCAGTTAACAGCTGAATGTGAAAGACGACCCCAAACTTTTTTTCTTTAAATATTAAGCGGGAAAAACCCCAGCTTCGAGACTATGCCCTGAAATATGAAAAAAAAATCCATTAGTATCTTGCATTAACCACTAAATTGTCGTTAGTAGCAGTCATATGTAATATTATCAGTAGCGTAAATGTATTGTAGATGGACAATTTGAACTCCTGTATTATCATTTGTAACATAAACCTAAAACTAAATACTAATTAAACCTTAAATAAACCAATCATTCTAAGTATCACTAAAACTTCCACTTAATAGAAAACAATACTTTACCTTCTACTTAAAAAACAAAATACTTAGGCTAAAAAGTCGTAAGTTAAGATGCTAAAACAAAAAAGAGAGGAAATAAAATTTAAATCTTGAGAGATAAGATGACCTGCGGGCATCACCTCACCTTTCTTAGGCACGCAGCATCCACACGACTTGCCCTTACAGTACTTCCTGTCCTTCTTCAGTTCTCCATCACACTCGCTGGAGGCCGGCTGGCACACACCTCCCTCCTTTTTACATGTGTTCTTGGCAGTGCACGCCCCTGTGTTGGGGGGAAAGAATTTGGATTGGTGAATATAAGGGGGAAAGGACACTTGTTTTGATAACTGTATGGTGAAAATGCTATTATTGGTGTTAAATCAATATTTGTAACTGCAAGGGGTGTTAAAAAAGCATTAGTGAGTTTTGGGGTGTTAAAATTAATATTGGTGACTGTAAGGATGTTAAAATCAATATTGGTGACTGTAGGGTGTTAAATCAATATTGGTGACTGTTGGGTGTTAAATCTATATTGGTGACTGTTGGGTGTTAAATCAATATTGGTGACTGTAGGGTGTTAAATCAATATTGGTGACTATTGGGTGTTAAATCAATATTGGTGACTGTTGGGTGTTAAATCTATATTGATGACTGTTGGGTGTTAAATCAATATTGGTGACTGTTGGGTGTTAAATCAATATGAACACTTCTAGCACGCTCGGCGTGTTTTTTCACGCCGAGCGTTGGCAGCATAGGAGTGTTGTGACGGCATTTTCTTCCTTATACCCGTGTGAAGGGCACTATTGAACTCTATGTACTTCTAAACAGCGTATATTTTCACACGGCGTGAAAGAATGCTCCTGTGAAGGGAGCCCAAGAGGAAAAATCTTTAATGTGTTTGTGTAGAGAAAGTAGTCAATATTGCCATATGATCAAAGTGATAAAAGCCAATAATGGTGACTGAAAAGGAAAATACAAGCCCATAATAATAATTGGAATGGATAAACAATACAAAACAAAAACGCATTGGTTACTCAAACACGAGTCTGGGTTTCTGATATCTTTGCTAATAGACACATAAGGGATTCTAACCCATTTTCCTTTGGCTGAATATCAAAAGATTTTGATTCCTATTATTTGTTATATTCCATTTTTTTGCAACAGTAATTCATTTGTTTAAAGTCAAGGTTTAGCAGTTTAATTCACAATGAGGATGTGTTTTTTTTTGTCAAGTAGGAATAAGCAAACCAAAAGTGACTGGCTATCTATTCATTTGATCGTACACTTGTAAGAAACATACAATCCAACTGTAACTATATAGCCCCCTTTAACCGTGTATAACTCCCCTTTAACCGTATATAACTCAACTTTAACCGTATATAACTCACCTTTAGCTAGGCAGCACCCACAGGTCTTGCCTCCACACCAAGATTTACCCTTCTTCAGATTACCATTACATAAACTGGACTGAGATTGACAGACGCCTCCTTTCTTAGTACATTTGGTAGGACATGTAGCTGGAACCAGGAAAATAAAGCTAAACATAGACTATAATTATAATTTACACAGAAAACATAATATATCGTTCAGTGGATGTTTTAATTATCTTATAAAGTATATTACATAGTGCCATAGTACCACTTCACCTATTGGCACTTTTGTTCTGGCACTCATTATGGCTCTCTACTTCAGCTGAGATACAATAGTTCTCCTTTTTCAACTCCTGTGATATTCCTTTTAATTTGTCATTTACTATTTAACATATATTATTACTTCTCTTAAGATAGATAGTTCTTCTCCTATCATATACAGATGTACTATCCTGAACATACAGTACTTTCCCCAACACAGTGGTACTACACACAACACAGCGTAACAACTTCCCTTAACATACAGAAAGTACTTCCCTTAACAGAAAAACAGTACTTTTCTTATCATATAATACTTCCCCTAACACACAAGAAGTGCTTTCCTTAACTCGTAAAAAAGTCATCCCTCTACACAGAAAAAGTACTTCCATCAACACAAAAAGTACTTCCATCAACACACAAAAAGTACTTCCCTCAACACACAGACAGTACTTACAATCGACACAGCAGACGCAGGATTTGTTGGAACAATATTTCAATTTCTTTGAATTCTTGTAAGTGGTTTGGTTACTTCCGCATCCTTTCTTCTTTCCCTCACAATTCCCGACCAATTTATTGCAGGTTTCGAGGGTCTGACATTCTGTACAAGAGGAGGGGTAGTACAGTAGTTTATTGAGGTATTTAAGGACGGGTAAAGACGTGGGGGTGAGGTAGTACAGTAGTTTATTGAGGTATTTAAGGACGGGTAAAGAGGTGGGGGTGAGGTAGTACAGTAGTTTATTGAGGTATTTAAGGACGGGTAAAGAGAGGGGGAGGTAGTTCAGTAGTTTATTGAGGTATTTAAGGACAGTAGTTCAGTAGTTTATTGAGGTATTTAAGGACGGTAAAGAATAGTACAGTAGGTAATAAAAATTCTTACTGAATGCTGAGAAATAGACTATATTAATAATTATGCAGTATAGAATTGTTTACACAGGTATACAGTACATAGGACACACACACACACACACACACACACACACAAAGTAAATGAACTTACTTCTCTTGGCGTAGGTCTTCTCCACCCGAGCTTGATCTGTTGACGGAAACAGTGAAACAAGAATTTAGAAATGTCTCCTTTTTTTTCTTCTAAATTTTAGTTAAAACTTTGAGTTGTTGATTCACGTACATAGTAGCTATATCTATCTATATAGCTATTTAGTATGACGTGTGGTAGGTAGTATGGTAGGTACGGTAGATGGTGTGGTAGGTGGTGTGGTAGGTGGTGTGGTAGGTGGTGTGGTAGGTGGTGTGGTAGGTGGTGTGGTAGGTGGTGTGTGGTAGGTGGTGTGGTAGTGGTGTGGTAGGTGGTGTGGTAGGTGGTGGTGTGGTAGGTGTGTGTGGTGGTGGTGTGGTAGGTGGTGTGTGGTATGGTGGTGTGGTAGGTGGTGTGGTAGGTAATGTGGTAGGTGGTGTGGTAGGTAATGTGGTAGGTGGTGTGGTAGGTAATGTGGTAGGTGGTGTGGTAGGTGGTGTGGTAGGTGGTGTGGTAGGTGGTGTGGTAGGTAATGTGGTAGGTGGTGTGATAGGTGGTGTGGTAAATAATGGGGTAGGTATTATAGTATTCGTAGACAGGTGTGGCTCGCAAGTGACAGGTGAGGCTCGCAGGTGACAGGTGTGGCTCGCAGGCGACAGGTGTAGCCGGTAAAAGGTGTAGCCGGTAACAGGTGTGGTCAATAATAGGTGTGGCCGGTAACAGCTGTGGTTGGCACGTGGGTGTGGCGAATGAATTATGTGGCAGGAGACAGGTGTGGTTAATAGGTATGTCTCACTGTACTGTGAGAGTAACCAGCTGATGATGTTTTCTTTGTTTGGAGAGAACAGCTGGTGATGATGTCATAGCCAACAGCTGGTGATGATGTCATAGCCAACAGCTGGTGATGATGTCATAGCCACAGCTGGTGATGATGTCATAGCAAACATTTGGTGATGAAGTCATAACAAAACAAACCGATTTTAGGATTATTAGAAGTTTTATTTCTCATATACTTTGTTTAAATGCTGTTAGAACAGTGTATTTGCTAGCACTCAAAGACCATAGTAAACACATTAACACCAAAAATTACAAGTAGTACAACTATTAGTAAATGAAATAGTCTTTACGTTAGCTTTCCCCTGTGTTTTATCTACTGTATGTGTTCTGTACATGGGCAATTTAACTGGTGTGTATAAATCTTGTGTATGTATCGCCAAATTGCTTAACGTTCGGTGATTCTTATGGTTTAGTCATGTTTTTCTCTTGTGTTATTTACGTCACGTTAAGTCTTGGACTCCTCAAAAACACCCTCTCCCTGTACCCTCGCCTGGCTGGCCCTTAGGTCTTGCCTAGCATAGATAGCCACACCCCTCTTGCAAAGTTTCTTGAGAAAGGTTCGCAAATGAGTCATATCCAGCAATACTGAACGAACATTCCTCTGGGTCTAGTCTCCTGTTCTTGTACAACAGTTCTACAACTCCTACAATACCTGGTTGGTGTACCTTCAGTAGTTTTTCAAACCCCTTTCCCTTATCAAGGAACGTGTCAGTATTAGTGTACATGATATTCAAGCCAGAATTTGTTCTCGGTAACGTCTCTGCTCTTAGTAGTAACCCCACTCCCCAATTCTCAGAAGCTGCAGCATTTGCTAAGTACACTGTATTTTGCAGGGTGTGTTTAGAAATGTCATTGTTTACACGGCACTCGCCTCCTCCTGTCTGGTAGGCGGAGTTGGTGCCGCCTCCCGGGTGGGGGGTAGAGCGAGTGGAGGGTGCACTGCTGCCCCCTGGCCCTGTGTCGGCACACTTGCTTCCACTACCCTCCCCCTGAATATAACCCATGTACACCCGTCCCCGTTCCTCCTTGACTCCTCCCTCTTCTGCTTCAAGTCCTGCAGGAGCTTCTTGTGCTGTTCCCTCTGCATTACCGTGCGATCTGGGTGAATGAATACACCCCGAGATGCCTCGCTCCTTGCTAAGTTTTTTGCCTGCCGAATAACTCCCTATTTCTCCTCGCTCACTAGTGTGATCCTGAGGGGGTGAAGCTTATTCCCCTGCTTTTGTCCCAGCCTCCTCACATCCTGTGGGGTTGATGGCATCTTCAGAACCTCTGTACAAATATTTTGAAACTGCATCTTATCGTGTGTTACCTTACTTACTCTCAGTTCTCTCCGCCTGGCTCTCGGGGACTCCAAAAACTATTACATTGTTCCTGCGCTGGAAACTTTCCCGTTGTTCCTCCTCTCCCCTAACAGTAGGTCCATTAATTTTTAGTTCTGAGACACACTTCTTCAGAATACCTAGCTGCTGTAGAACCTGTTCCGATCCTGCATTACTCTCCGCCACCCCCCCCCCCGTGGCCCTGCTAATGCCTCAGCATAATTCCTCTTAGCAACCACCTCCATTCTATTGGCTACTTCCTCAGAAGGATCTCTTTCCCAACTTGCTCTAGTTTGGCAACCAGCAGGGCTCCAGCTTCATCTATTTTCGTCCCTAGGGAACTCGTTCCCTTATGGATTGCAATCGCCTCTTTCACCTTGACTCTGCAGTCAGGGCAATACCAGCAACAGCCTTCATGCTTTACGACAGTTAGCATCTTCCTAAACGTAGCATTAGTCAGGCCTGTATCCTCCATATCCGACGTCCCCCTGCAGTAATCACATATCATACTCATGGTTGTTGCTGTTGTGTGGAGGGGGGTGCAGACTGTGTATAGATCTACACCTATTTAAAAAAAAGAACAGTACTTAACTGCTCACTGCTGGATTTAACCACCTCCCCTGTTACCTATAGAGTTGTCTTCTGCTATCACTGCGTACACTGTATCTCCCTGTGAATGATGTATTATAGACACAGTTTCAGTCCTTGAGAAAGCACAAAAAATAAATAAAATTTAAAGTCTCTGTGGCACCTATGACACGACTTGGTCTTTGCTGGCAGTGGCGCCTTACCAGCTTGTTTGCCAGTTTGTATTCACTTAAAGTTATCTACAATCTCTTTGTTACAGAGACACGACACGACACGACACGACACGACCCGACCCGACCCGACCCGCCCGACACTACAACTTTGTTATGTATTCTCTGGGATTAAGTCTACCCTCTACCGACCACCTACCGTTATCTACTTCATCTACTCTCGCATCTACTTTAGGTCTTCCACCCTTCAACCGATCGATCTTTATCTCTCCCTCCACCCATCTACCATTACCCTCCATTATTTCAACTACCATCTACTCTTCATCAACTCATATCTACCCCCCATAAAATCATCTAGAGTCAAACCCATTCCCTATCCAATCGTCTACGATCTACTCTACTTCAAGTCATCTACCATCTACTCTTTACACTACTCATTATTTACTCTATCCTCTCCTCTACCATATACTCGACTCTCTCATCTACTCTCACACTGCTCACTATCTACTCTACCCTCTCATCTACCATCTACTCACCCGATAGACAGCACTTGTAGCCTTCGTCACACTTATTCTTCAGGACCTTCTTACTCGAACACTTTGCTGAGGACTCGATGCACTGGCCGGGACATCCCTGTGTGAGAGTGAGTGAGTGAGAGAGAGAGAGGAAGAGAGAGAAAGAGAGAAAGAGTATGAAATATAGGTATATGCATATAAATAAACGAGTGGATGAGTGGATGGATGGATGGATGGATGGATGGATGGAGAGGGAGAGAGAGAGAAAGAGTTTTGATTGGAAAAAAGCTTAACCTTAGATTTGGCCTTGGCGACCTTATGTGAAGATAAACCGGACTTGGGACTGCCGGGCCTTTTCTTGGTCTTAGCGCCCTCGGACTTTTTCGAGTTCCTTGGGGTCTTGGGTCGTCGAACCTCCTCGGTCTCAGAGTAGCGTGGTTTGTCGTTGCTGGCGGCGTCGGAGAAATAGACAAAAGCCAACAAGACGATGAGGCAACACGAGAACATGACACAAAGCCTCATGATGGATCGTGTAGGAGGCGTGAACGAAGTAAAGTAGAGAGATACACACACAGGAGGAGGAAAGAGAAGGAGAGTCAGGGAGGTCCTCGTGTGTGTGTGATGATGACAGCCGTTCCTTATATACTGGCGGTGAGAAGGTACAGCTCTGATCTCTCACTGATATGATATTGTTACGACCCCCACAGATCCCTCCCACACCCCTCTACGAGAATCCACCTCCCCTTCACCCTCCCGACCCTCCACCTCCCCTCCACCCTCCCGATCCCCCACCTCCCCTCCACCCTGCACCCTCTAATTTTCGCTCACTTCACCTGTTTACTAACCCCCATCTTCTCCCTGTTCATTGTTCCTGTTAAGTTCCGTGTCCCTTTCACCCTCATTTCTTTTCCTGGTATCCCTCCCGCTGTCCCTCCCTCATCCCTAGGCCCCTCCATCCCCACACTCCTGCCATCACCTCTGTATGATATGTACACAAAGTAATACCTTAAGCTGTGTATTATTATATTACTCTTATATTACTCAATTAATTATGTATAGTAAGTATTACAGAACATGTATTAATTCTATGTAATATTCCCATTTATTATGCACCATGTTATGTATATAAATTATCATATTTACATTGTATGTATTCAACTTGTGAATGCTGGCATCTGTACATGCAAGCACGCAGTAATACATAGAGAGTGAAGACAGCCAGTCCTTGTGATGCGGAAGTGAGCTTCTTGGTCTCTTGTATATATATCTCCCGTACGAGAATAAGAACCTACTTTTAAGAGAACAAGTGTTTGTGTATACCTTCAGTAGTATAGAACATTTTGGAGGTACCAAGACGAACACAGAACCTCCACTCACAACACTTGTATTCTGGTGGCTATACAATGTGTGTACGATAATTTCACATGTTTTATGATTACCAGTCAAATAACTTTTTATTTCTATCTTGTGTATCCATAGCCCTCTGTAAATCGTTGAGAAATAAATATTAAAAAAATACGATAGAATGTAAGTTTTAAGATATACTCGGGAATATAGATTACAGAATCCGCCTCCACGTCATCAAAGTTATGAGTGTGTGTGTTGGGTAGACATATAGACAGAGACAAATGGTGTAATGACACTTGCCCATAGTTTCACCCTGCCCGGAGATCGAGCCTGTGTGTTCACTCGCTTGCAAGGCGAGCATGTTGACCATTACAACACAGGTCGTACGCGCACACATGACTGGCCTTGTCAGTCTGCTTCTCAAGCACACACTCCCTCATTTACTCTCTGCTCTCCTCTTCCCTCCTTCAACAGCCTGTTTATGGAATCCTCAGACTTACTCCACGCTCGTATCTGTCTCGTGTCAGCTACGTTACGGCTTAATGATCTTTATGTATTTTACCTTTGTCGTCTTAGTGACCTTTTCAGCAGTATGTGGTATTTAGGTGATACTCATATGCTTATTATGTGACGTACGTTCTCTTGCCAGTGAACCTTTACCATTAAGTTTCATTTATTAGTTATACCAAGTTCGAGATTCTTACTTAAGTACTTTATGAGGGCCATTATACGAGACCCCCCCAGTGCTCTTATCACTGTTTCGATTTTATCATTTTGTGCATTTGAATATACCAGGCGTAGGGCTGGCTTTTTGTCAAGACCTAACTTACTTTATTGATGTAATTTGTATACCTGTGTTTATCTACCTTCCCCAAATCTAATATCTAAAATTTACTGACTATTACTCTACTGATACATAAATTCACTGGGAATTTCTAGTTAACATCTGACATAAATATTTCACTAAGTATTCCTGGGAAGTTCTGAGTAAAATTTAAACTGTTGATTGGAAGTTTTCAATACGTGGGTGAACACTAATGTCATTCCTCACGCAGTTCTGAGCCCGTGTGAGTTGAGCGTAACAAAAACAAACAAACAAACATGTTGTATGGTCCACGGGAAGGTGAAATAACGTTAGACTATCACCTTTAGGTTATTCGCCAAGTTAACAAGTATTATAAAAGTGACAAGCCTCCCTCCTCCCCCCATAACACAACAGAGGGTCATCACTACTCCTAAAATTTCTGAAACAGAGTTATTTGGGCATCAACATATAGTTAAACCACAAATGTACTGTACCAAGAAATGAGAAAATCCATTTAATGAATTGACACAGACAAACAGATAGACGTTTACACCGGTTACTCTATCCTCTCGGTCGGAAAAGAGTGAAAAAATAAATACAGAATATCCGGCAGAAAAATAGATAAGAGGAATAATAAGAGTGTTTACCTGTACAGCAGATAACAGGGAACACCTGTGTGGCGCTAATGATCATTGCGTGTGTTATGATTGGCTTAGAGATCCTGTATACCTGTTGGTTAGGGAGGGTGAACAGACTATGTTAGAAAGTTATATTCTGGACCTTATAGAGGAGAGAAAGATTCACCATACACGTGGCAGAACCTTACAAGAAGAGCGCGGTGGTTGACCTCGTATTCATGAGTATGAACAACTGTGTGAATACATTAAGTCTGAGGTGTAGCAGCGTCCCACATGATAGATGAAGTCATGGTTGTGTTTACTGTATCTTCGTCTAGATATTTTGTTACCTTCATTGACACATGGCAGGGCACAGGGCAATGTGTGTGTGTGTGTGTGTGTGTGTGTGTGTGTTTGTGTGTGTGTGTCTGTGTGTGTGTTTGTGTGTGTGTGTGTGTGTGTGCCTGTTTGTGTTAGTGTGTGTCTGTGTGTGTGTGTGTTTGTGTGTGTGTGTGTGTGTGTGTGTGTGTGTGTGTGTGTGTGTGTGTTTGTGTTAGTGTGTGCCTGTTTGTGTTAGTGTGTGTCTGTGTGTGTGTGTGTTTGTGTGTGTGTGTATGTGTGTGTGTGTGTGTGTGTGTGTGTGTGTGTGTGTGTGTGTGTGTGTGTGTGTGTGCCTGTTTGTGTTAGTGTGTGTCTGTGTGTGTGTGTGTTGTGTGTGTGTATGTGTGTGTTTGTGTGTGTGTGCCTGTTTGTGTTAGTGTGTGTCTGTGTGTTGTACAGGTGTAATGGTGTTTACAGTCGACACGTGTTGGAGTTGATATACTATATTGTACACACACACACCCACACACACCCACACACAAGCACGCATATATGATAATATATAATCATGTTTTGTTTTCACACACACACACACACACACGTGCAACAGCACATCAAAGCGAGAAGTATGGTGGGGAGGGGGTGGGGTGGCAGGCAGGTGTGAGGCTATTTACCCCAGCAGTTGGAGCTCAGGTGTCCCTCACAACACCACAGTAACACGAAACTACACAATTATCTCGTTACCTTATTTAGCTTTGACACTTGCCTTTGATCATACCAACTGGTTTTTTCCCTTCCATTTATTTATTTTATTTATGTTTCCTCATCTTCCACATTCTGCGCGGGATGACTTAAGAGAATGGTAGGGGATGAATGGTAGGGAAGGAAGTGGTAGGGAAGGAAGTGGTAGGGAAGGAAATGGTAGGGAAGGAAATGGTGGGGGGAGGGAATGGTAGGGAAGGAAATGGTAGAGGAGGGGTGGTAGGGAAGGAAATGGTAGGGGAGGGGTGGTAGGGAAGGAAATGGTAAGGAAAAGCGTATCAAAACAATCATAGACAGTAACAGGCTGTAACAATACACTACACTCTGTCTCTCTCTATACCGATATGTAATAATGAAAAACACACAGACAGACAGGTAGACAGACGGAGACAAAAATAAATAACTAAACATGATGAAAGACAGAGAGAGAAAGAGACGTAAACACACAGAAAGTGAAACGTTAAGTGATATGATTTTTTTTTATTTTGGCCATAATTTATTTCTTTTAATATTTCTCACACTCATCCTCCTGTTCCCTATAGAATACTGCCTGCACCCACGCGACCCAGTAGGTAGGTAGGTGTGTGTGTGTGTGTGTGTGTGTATCCGCGTGTGTGTGTGTGTGTGTGTGTATCCGCGTGTTGTGTGTGTGTGTGTATCCGCGTGTGTGTCTGTATGTATGTATGTATGTATGTATGTATGTGTGTGTGTGTGTGTGTGTGTGCATAGACTCGTATATTTGTGTGTTTCTGTGTGTGTATGTGTACTGGCACCAACGATCTTTTCCATTTTCTTGGCCGATGAAACGACTTTTCAACATTCGACGACTCCAGGATGGAACAAAGGTGTTGGTAGCTTCCATTACTGGACGACAGTTGACTGCCAAAGCAGCTACTTTACAGGCACCTAGCGAATGGCAAACGTAACGCTGGCGGGCGACAGAAAACACCCCCATAAACCATTAAAACACTCCCATGCACCATAAAACACTCCCATACACCATAAAACACTTCCATAAACCATCAAAACACCCCCATACACCATAAAACACTCCCATAAACCATTAAAACACCTCCATACACCATAAAACACCCCCATATACCATAAAACACTCCCATACACCATAAAACACTCCCATAAACCATTAAAACACCTCCATACACCATAAAACACCTCTATACACCATAAAATACCCCCATACACCATAAAACACCCCCATATACCATAAAACACCCCCATACACCATTAAAACATTCCCATACACCATAAAACACTTCCATAAACCATCAAAACACCCCCATACACCATAAAACACCTCTATACACCATAAAACACCCCCATGCACCATAAAACACCCTATACACCATAAAACACCCCCATGCACCATAAAACACCCCTATATACTATTAAAACATTCTATACACCATAAACACTTCCTATAAACCATCAAAACACCCCCATACACCATAAAAACAATTTCTATACACCATAAACACCTCTATACACCATAAACACCCCCTATACAATTATAAAAGCACCCTCATATACCATAAAACACCCCCCATACACCATATAAAATACCTCAATACAATTATAAAACACTTCTATAAACCATCAAACACCTCTATACACACTATAAACACTACAATTATAAACACCCTATATAACATAAACACCTCTAGAAACATATAAACACTCTATGTTCAAAACACCCTCTATATACTACATAAAAGCACTTATATACCATAAACACCTCTATACACCATTAAAACATTCTATACACCTATAAAACACTTTTATACACTAT